ATGTCAAGCAGAAGCGTACCGCGCTCTTGGATAATGATGAAGTAGACGCAGATAACTGGCTAATCGATGATATAGGACCAGAGCGCAAGCGAAAGCGGTACAATTCGGGCAGTATTGGCTGTCGACCGGTTAATTCAAAAGAGAATCTGCAGGACTCTGCTCTGGCTTGGGATGCCGAGTTCCAGGCCACGCCCCCAGAGCAGGATGCTCATCAACTGTTACTCGAGGCAGCCAATTCGAAGCAGCGGCAGAAACAAATGCGTAAGCTCACGCTGTCCCGCTCCTCCAGCATGAGCAGCAATAACAGCAGCAGCAATTCCAAGCCCAAGCAGCAGGCATCTCTGCTGGACAGCGGCTTTTGTCGCTTTCGCAGTGAAAGTCCTCTGGGCAGTGGCGAGGACTCGATGGATGGGGCTTCGTTGATTAGCTTCCGCACGCACACGGAACCGGATTCCACAACAAGTGGTGCACAAAATGCCGGCATTCAGCTACTTATCTCGCCGTCCAAAATGACATCGCCCATCAAAGTACAAGCCACGCCAGTGCTGGCAACCACAGTGTCCTTCAAAGTCAAAGTGCAGGACGAACTGTTGCTAGTGCCTATCGAGCGCAAAAAACTACAGGATATTAACATGCGGTGGCTGGCCGAAGAGACAGGGCGACGTTATAATAAGTGAGCAGATGTGAATAGGTATTGAAATAATTATTCTTACAATATCAATATATTTTTAGATTAACTGGGCTTACGCCTTTGTTGCGTCTCAAGACATCCGATGGCTTCGCCTACGAGGAGACAGATTCAGTAAGCGTTGCTCTTGAGCAGAATATGCTATTATCCACAATTCTAGATTGGAAAATTTCACCGCTTTCTCAACGCTATGAGGAAATGTGCCATCAATTGCAGAAACGTAAGCAGCACACATTAATCATGGTAGTTTATAAACTAATTTTTCAATCTTCTACAGCTGTCGACGACAAGATAAAGGTACGGCTGGAGCGTTCACAGAGTACACTCACGCTTGAGCTGTCGAGTCTGTGGCTACGCCACGTTCAAACGGAGCCACTGTTCAAGGCGTTGTTGCATCAGGCGCGTCTCACACTGCTCGATTTATCCTTCAATTTCATTGGCAACGAGGGCTGTCAGCAATTGGCCAAGGCGCTGCCTACATTATTGCAATTGAAGACATTGAGACTGACGTGTAATGGGATCAGCAATCTAGGTCTCGAGGCGCTGCTTTGCGGCACGGATATTGAAAAACTGGAGAACTTAGAGGAGCTCCAACTTGGCCAGAATCCGCTGGGCAGCGCCAGTCTGCGAACTTTGCATAAGTTTTGTGGTAGCCGAGCTGGTCGAGCGTTGACAACGGTGAATCTTTCACAATGTGAATTGACCGAACTGCAGGATTTCGATCTGGCGTACACGCAATTGACCAGCTTTGACATTAGCTTCAATCAGCTAACGCAGCAAAGTGTGCGCCGATTAACCGAGCAGTTGAATAGCTGTCGCCTGGAGCGTTTAAATATGAGCTACGTACGTTGGCCACTGGACGAGCAGAGTGGATTTGCGCTCGGAGAGCGTCTGGTTTCGCTCTTGGAGAGCGGTACTAGTGAGAGATTTGTGCGTTTGGAACTTGCTGGCTGCGGGTTGATCGATGCGCATATTTACAAGATAACACAACAGTTGGCCAAGGCACAGCAGCTGGAATGGTTGGACATTAGTGACAATGAGCGGTTGAGTGGGGCTGCACTGGGCTATGTGCTCGACGAGCTGCCCCATCTACGTGTTCTTTTGGCCACGAACTGTATACGTCTGGTAGACGATCTACGTCTGCTGAAGCTGGAGGAACAGAAACAACTGCCCAAGCGCATGGAACTGAGCATCGATGAACAGGCATTCTCCTTGCCAGGTGCCTTATCCACATTGGCAGCCATTTGGCAGTTAAAATGGGGTGACAATGCCAAAACTTTGACTCCCAAGGGCAAAAAGGGTCTGTTGAAACTCTATTTGGATGAAAATGATCTGCATTGGTGCACTGGATGAAGTCAATGTGATGTCTTTTGTTATTTGTATTTAAAGTCTCTTTGTTTGTCCCTTTTTATTTTTGACGTACGAAAATAGCCATAACTCCTATCAGAAGAGCCAAGGGGGCAGACATATCTTATCAGCATGCGCTTTCGAGCGCCCCAATTTAGTCTCGCGATTTGGTGTCTTCTAGCTAAGATTGTATGTACGTTATCTATAGCAATAATATGTACTATATGACTACCTCTATCAAATGGTTTTCAACATTTCCAGTAATAGTTTAAGTACTTATATATTAACTTTATTTATCGTTGTTTGTGAAATGAGGATGATTGTGACCGTGACCTAACATCTTATCTGGCACCGTCCTTGGCCATTTCGTACATGTTCCTTGAGATAATGAGACGTTGAATCTGAGATGTGCCCTCATAGATCTGATAAATCTTGGCATCGCGCATTAGCTTTTCCACGGGATACTCGCTGTTGAAGCCATTGCCGCCAAAGATTTGTACAGCATCGGAGGCAATCTTGTTCGCCATGTCGGCTGCATGGCACTTGGCAATGGATGCGTAGTAGCTGTTGCGGCGTCCCTGGTCAATCTCCCAGGCGGATAGACGCCACGCCAATCGAGATGTCTCCACGCCAATGGCCATGTCGGCTAACATGAATTGCACTGCCTGATGATGGGCAATAGGAACACCGAAGGTCTTGCGTTCCAGCGCATACTTCAGGGCCTCGTCCAAGCAGCGCTGGGCCAAGCCAACGGCTCCGGCTGCGACTGGAGGGCGGGTCTTGTCGAAGGTGCCCATGGCAATTTTAAAGCCTGCTCCCTCGCCAATCAGCACATTCTCTTTTGGAACTCGAACATCCTCGAAGGTGATGCCGCGTGTGTCAGATGCACGCTGACCCATGTTCAGTTCCTTGCGGCCAGGCGTTAGGCCAGGAGTCTCACGATCAACAATGAAACCAGTGAATGCTTTGCTGGGCGGGCACTTGGGATCGGGGTTGGTTCGCGCCAGCACAAAGTACCAGTTGGCCACGCCTCCATTGGTGATCCACATTTTCTGGCCATTGATCACATACTCGTCGCCCTTCTTTTCGGCTCGCGTCTTAATGCCGGCAACATCAGAGCCAGCGCCAGGCTCCGTGACACAATAAGCTGCCACCAAAGGCTCTTCTAGCAGACGACCCAGATACTTCTTCTTCTGCTCCTTGTTGCCGGAGAGGATCACAGGTGTTTGCTAAAATATAGTAGTGATTAGCCATATATATATATATATAATGTGGAGTCATCTGCACTTACGCCCAAGCCGCTAGCCTCCAGAGCAGTCATAATGCCGGTGCATCCATAGGCCAGCTCCTCGGCAGTCAGGCAGGTCGTGAACACATCTAATTCTAGGCCACCCAACTCAGCGGGTATGTGGTTGTTCATCAGACCCAAGCTCCAGGCCTTCTTTATGATCGGCCATGGGTACTCGCCGGTCTTGTCATATTGCGCAGCCACTGGAATGATCTCTTCACGGGTAAACTTGCGCGCTAGCTCCTGGAGCTGTTGCTGCTCTTCGGTCAGAGCAAAGGATGGACCGGTGGGCGAGACGTGAGAGACGGCAGCGTAGCACCGGCTGGCGGCCAGCTGACGTATAGCAGGAGCTGCGAGCTACAAGCAAGCAAAATAATTAGTCTCGGAATTCCGTATGGGTTCACAAGTCCAACCAAGGGGCAAAGTACAAACACGACAGATAAGAGAAATAATCTGAAAAATCTCTATCTCTCTTTCAAACGTATTTCAAAATGTCTGCCAGATGATCGGCGGCTGTAATTGCTTTGGCTAGAGTCAACAAAACTGTGCTTATGCTCAACTTATAATGTACACACCTTATTTAGAAATGCCATGTCGCAGCAAATATATTATTAACTTATTGCAAATTAAGAAATATATGTGATATTATTCCGTTTTTATTTGGGTCACGCTGTTGACTCGCCGAGGTACTTTGTCGTATTAAAGCAAACGAGCGAACTGTTGCTCACAAAAAGTCGCAGCGTAGCCAAAGCGAGATGTGAACATTAGACCCGCTTGCTTTCGGCGAATTCAGAACAACAACAATTTGCAGCTTACACGAAGCTTGCGTGGGTTGGAAAGTGGCGTCAACAAACTTTCGCTGCATGCAGGCGAATATCATTCGCTTTGGCACTCTAGTGAAGACACACCCCCAAATGAGATCCCAAGGCCAAGGCGAAACTCAATAATCAAATCGAACGAAAAGCTTTTTATGCAAAAAGTTTTGCATGCTGTAGACAACGCGCGCTATTTGAATGCCATAAATAAAAAGTATTGTATATTTTCAGGCGCTGACAAAATTAGCTTAAAGGTTATGTTAAAAATAACAATATTTCGTATATATACCCAAAGCACAGACGGCCGCCCTTTCATTACTGTGTCGAAATCGATGCTTGGGCTATGGAAGCAACAACAAAAAATAAGAAAAACAAAAATAAATCAATTGTTTATTGCCAGCAGCTCTTATCAGGCACGTCAGCTGCAGCAGCAGCAGCATCACATAAAACTTGGTCCGGTTAAAGCTTCCGTTTAGCCACCGAGCACCACCCCAAAAAAAGCGCACACGACTCGGAGCCGAAGCTAGCAGCGAAGCAACGAAGGACGAGGACGAGGTGAAAGTCCCGTCACATCTAAGGCAAAAACTGGGATAGCTGCTGCTTTTGGCTAGGCAGTCATTTGACATTGCTCCTGCGTAAAGGTTGTCCACGCGCAGAGCAAAATTAATCCGTCGTCGAAGAAGCCGTCTCCAACTCCCGTTCCACTGTGTTTGTGCAAGTGCATGTGTGAGTGAGTGAGAGTGTGAGTGTGAGTGTGTGTGACTGCTACACACTCTCAGTTTTTTAGTATACATATGTGTGTATATGTACCCCTCTAAATTTTAAGTGGAAAAAAGTCTCTAAAATCGTAATCAAACAAGTGCAAGGCCTTAAGTGCTTTTCATCATGGCTCAATTTGTGACTCACATACAGCCAACGCTATTGGAGGCGTCGCAAGGTCATGTGCCGCACCATCATAGCCATCAGGTAGGCGTGCAGCACTCGTCGCATTTGCCACACAGTGGCCACAACATGCCATCGCCACCCACGGCACACAATCATCATCATCATCATGGCGGACATCATGGCAATGCCTCATCGCACCACCAGCAATCGCATCAGCAACAACAGTCGCATCAGCAATCCCATCATCAGCATCCAGAACAGCAGCAAAACCAGCACCAGCACCAGCATCAACATCAGCATCAGCAGCAGCACCACAAGAAATCACATCATCCGACAGCTCATGGTGCTGCCAAGACGATTCAAAGTCCACCCAAGCCGTTGTCCCCGGAGCATGTGGGCCACTATGAATACTTTCAGCATCAGCATGAGCTGGTCTTTCAGCATGGTGGCGCCCCGCTTTGTGGAACGAACAATAAGCAGCATCACGATAAGCATGAACACTGCCCCACAGGACATCAGAGTGCGGTGAGTGCCAAGGCGTACATCATATACGCCCATAGAGCCCGGGCAATGATCGCGTTTACTTATGAATTGCCCATATTCATGTGGCTCATCTCTTAACTGTGTATTTATGTATATGTATATCTTTATTATGGGTATATGTATGTATGCATGAGTATGTATGGAGTTGCCAGTCCATTGAATGACGCAATCGCAATCCTTGAGCTGAATAACTGAAAGCCAAATGAGTCATCGATGACATCTAACGCTGTCCTTGCTGGCCCATTAGCCACTTCATGACGACTCTCTGGCGTCGTAGCGTCTCCCAGGCATCACTTGGGGCTCTATTAAAAAAAGCTTCAAAATTAGAACTTAGAGCCTTGCCTTCCGCACCCCCAACGACACTCCACCCCATTCCAAAACACACCCAGCCCTGCCTCATTTTCGCATTAGCCCCCATTCATCCTGTACACTCAAAAGCTTTTCTCTTGATAATTTGCTTCTCTAAAATTTGTTGTGTATGTTTTAAAAATAAAACCGATTGGCGAATTTCTCTTTGTGCTCTTCGCATGGGTCTCTGGCCGTACGGCGAATAGAAAATAATTTAGAATACGACTCGAATCGCTCGCTGTCTGCGGTTCTTGGTGGCGGCCAACGCGTGACTACTCGTCTATATATTTAGATATATATATATATTTATTCCATATAAATTTTAAGCGTCTGTGTTTTGTTTGCGTATAAAAAATAATCAACGGCATGGAGACATTGAAGAAACGGTTTCCTTCGCTGCAGAGTTTGGGCGTAAGTCGCGGGCATATTGGACACGATTTATGTAATATATAAACGCATATATATTAATAAATATACACGCACATATAGTTTGCTATCAAAAGTGCAGTTGACCCAAATATATCAAGAATTTCAAAACAGAAATAGACAGATTTATGTGCATAAGATATTTACATTATGTATATTGTTTTATTAAATTCTGTGCGTCGGCGTCTTTTGTGTCAGTGCAGTGAACTGTTCATCTACGAGAAACTACTTCCGCCTCTCTCCCTCTCTCTCTCTCTCTTTCGCTCTCACCCAACCACCACTCCCCATTCTCGACTAGACGCCCCAGGGTAGCTTTATATTAAATTGGCTGTCGCGACTCGCTTCGCCATATTTTTGTTGCGTTTTCAAAGGTCATCAAAGTTGTGGACAATTAGCTTAGGCCGTGTCGTCTGACTGGCGCTTTACTTCGAGCCATTCGTGCTTGCTTTGCTTGTTATTTTCGTCTTCTTCTTCTGCTGTGGCTACTTTGGCTTCTGAAATGTTATATGCCATGTCGCGCCGACAAGCGATAGCCTCATCGACGCCAACATAGTTGTTTAAAAATATATTAGGAAATATGGCCAATATGCTTATCCATATCGAAGTGTAAATACTCTGTGTCGATCAAACAAATCATCGTTTCTATTATGTTATTTACCAATATTTCATTTTACTAGTTGATTAGCTTTAGTAAACAGATTACCACCTGATCAATCATTTCGAATGAAAACTTGAATTTAATATATATTTTGGGTAAATTAAAACCATGAAATTAATTTACCCAATATATAGTAAATATAAAATTTAACTATACAACAACCAAATTTACAACACTCCATTGAGCGTATAAATACACTAGGTGTTGAAATGTAATTAGTTATATAATGTTTAATAGATCACCTGTTCGCAAATAGTAATCAGGCAATGTCTATAGTAATTTATATAGCACTTCATAGTGTATACAGAGTATAGAGGCTCAAACAACATTTATTATGGAGTAGCAGCTGACATGCAAACCAGCAATTTAGCTCCGCTTCGAGCATTTCGTGCACAACCCCAAAGAGTTCGATGGGTTTCAAGTGTAATCGAAAACCCTTTGCTGGCCAAAACAAATAGGCCCAATGTTTGGGTAAGCGATAAAGACTGAAATGCAGCTTAAAGATACCAGCCAAAGCTGAAAGGCTCATTAATTGAATACCAAAATGTGCGTCACACCTTGCTGCCACATGCCACATGCCACATTAGTTGCTTACCCTCGTGCCCAGGCCCAGCCTTTTGCAGCATATAAAGCAGAGCAAGCACTTTACACAATTTGTCCCGGTCACGAATGCAATTCGAAATGCAATTTTATGCAATCGCCTAGGGGTAAGTTTTAACAATAGGGTGGAATTCCCTGCAATCGGCTAATTTGCCAAGAACAATAGTAGAAATTGTGTCGTTCCTCTTACTTGGCTTGCTTTGCCTTGCTTGCCTCGGCTTGGCTTACTTGGCAAAACGTGACTCTGAATGCGGCTGCATACGCATCTGATTGGATTTTCGTAAGGGTGCTGGGTTTTGGGGTTGCTATTTCATTTCCAATTCGAAACTGGAAGTAAACAAAGTCCAGCCAAGAGTAGTGATTGCTCTTGCAAAGTGCTGGATTGGAAGGCAAATCAACCCCCCATCAAACCAAAAACATAAACCCTCCACCAACCAACTGTGGATTGTGTGCAGTTGTTCGTAGACTTGTTTACGCTTAGTCAACAACGTTTTAAACGCCGACTGCGCCAAGGACCTGTTTCTAAATAATTATATTTGCTCAGCTAATTACTTAGAATATGCTGAAATTACAAACACAGTTGGGTGTGACAGCAAATTAATTACGTGACGGTAGGAGGTCCTTTTTCCACTGAAAAAAGTTGCCCAAGTCCCCAAGGATCAATTTACACATAATATCCTCTCGAGTTTCAGTTTAACGGTCTTGAAATGCCTTGAAATCCTTGGAAGTCCAAACTTAGAGATTCTTTAGAGTATCTCAATTTCTATAGTTCTCAACTGGTTTCTTATAAGACTTGATGCCAGTATCTTGTTTATTAATGCACTCACTGCACACGTGCTCGCTGCACCGCTTCCAATGGCTTCAAATGTCAACAAAGCGAGACGCACGTGCTAACTGGGCGGCATACGCTTCCGCTTCCAATGCCAGTGAACCACCCTTGGGTGATGGTGGCGCAGACGCAGGCCACACGGGCGGCGTTTCCCAACTGGAATAAGCAAGTGCGCAGGTCCTTCGAAAATCCTGGCAGTACTCGGTTGCCGACAAACGATTTTCAACCACGACTCTAAGGTAGGACTCTTCGTTTGGGCCTAGCAAACATCCAGTCTGGAGTTGAACATTGAAGAAAACGGCAGCAAAAAGCGACCGCTCCTCAGCGTGTATAATTCAGAAGCGACTGTGTTAACTAGCAAAAGGAATCCAATCAGACACACACACACACAGACAGCGACACAGTCACAGTTACAGTCACATAGAAACGTACACTGACACACACACACACATAGACAGACACACACCCTCGCACACACACGCACACCCATGCACCAAAGCTTACATAAAATCCAAGGAAAAATCGATGCGAGTGCATTTAAAATTCAACAAAAAGAAGTCTCGAGTAGTTAAATCTTTATTCGCGTCAAAAAAGGAAGTTTATTAATTAGCCAAGTGTAAAAGAAAAACTATGACTAATCAGTGACGACATACGCGAGCCTCGCTTACACAATATTTCTATACTAGATATATATACATATAAATATATATATCGTAAGATTGAAATTCGGTTGTTCTATTCTATTTGAAAAACGGTGAACGCAAAATGGTCACTGAAAATGGAGCTCAGGTAAAGAAAATAATTGAGAAAATATCTCATTTCAATTGCAGCGGGTACTAACTTTTCGAACAGACTGTCTGAGACGGCCATGTTGGCGTCCATTTTGCACGTTATCGATTTTTCAGTGTCTGGGACTGAAAAATTGCTTGCAAATAGCAGCAAAGAGTAATTAAAACTCGATTTGTTAATTATTAAAAGAAACTTTAGAATACGGCTAATCATAGTTGCTGTCTGGCACCTGGTAGCCATTTGCATGACAGCAAAGATTTATTGATTTTTCTTAGTCGCATTTAATTTGAGCAAGATATAAGAATACGAATATAAGGTATTCATATTCATTTATACAATGAGCTATAAATAAATAGCTAACTATTGTTGAAAGCGACAGCTATTTTGTCATCCGAACTGGGTGTGGTGCGGTACATGCTGTGCGTGAGTCCGTGCCTCAACCCGTGTTGCAAGGTAATACAGATTTAGGTTAAATTTAATGATGACATGCGACATTTCATGCCACGACCGAGATGTAGAGAAAATCCATAACATGAGTCATATTCTGTCTTTGCTCTCGGGGACCTAATGAATTTCACTCCATTTGTTGCACCGATTTTCCATTATAATTTGCACTCGAGCTTTGAGCCTCGAGCTGATTAGCTACTTGGGCGACATTTTGTTGCACAAGTTCAAAGGAAATCCACTTCAAGGCTTCAAGCATTCAATTGAGCTTGTTATACAATCCCTGAGAGCCACCTTTGAACTTTGGCTGCTAGAATGTGTTATTGTGTGTGTCTGCCCCTCATCAAGTTGGGCAAACAAGGAAGCGGCCAGTGCCTAAAGACATCCTTTAGAGTTGGGCTTCTTCTATATATACACTTATGTACAAAAGCATATGAAATGAGTTTTGTGTTGGCCCAGCCATGCCATGAATAGGTGCCGCTTCAACTTCCGTATTGGCTGAGGGGCGAGCCCTCGAATTTGCCCTCACCGTTGCTCACGCCCTCTTCTCCTCTCTTTCGCTTACTCTCTCTCACTATGCATTGCAACAGCTTAGGAGCTGGTCTCCGACAGGAAACGGTGGGACTTTTGTCTGCGGTCACTTATAACGTTGTCGGCATTGCGTATCCAGTGCGAAAATCAACCTTCCAATTGGAAGCCGCCTTCCACTTGCAGTTTTCCAATGCCACATCATGACGTCATTTTCGATATCGAATTCCAAGCAACCCGCCCCAATGCTGCTCAGTGGAGCGTAAGGCAAAGCGAAAACATAAACAACTTGTGGGTGGCTATTAAAAAAAGAAAGAGGGAAGGCAGCTGTTCGCACAAAGCCGAATTACACCTGCGCATTGAAAACGCTGACGTTGACCCCTCGCCTTGACCGTCAGCTAACTGAACTTGGTCTCCCTTCCTCTACACCTCCATACCCCTGCCCATGCCACCAGGTGCACAGTTCACAGTTCGCAATGCGAGCTTCAGTTGCGCAACGACTGTAACGGCTCTTTACCCACATGCAAGTAAATATACGATCAATAACAGCCCTCAGCTACAACTAAAGCTCTTTTGATGAACACGCAGCTGGCACGCAACTTACGTTTGGCCAAAGGGCAGAGCACAGCTCTTTGATTTATAGCTCTTAAAAGCTAAGTTATACAACTCTGTCAAAGTGTAATAATTTGATTAAAATTATTTAAATGTAACATTAGTCTAAAGGAGAATCCAATAAGAAAATGGTAATATGTTTTGTCTATTTGATGATTAGTTTGCATTTATAACTGTTCCAAAACGAGTTTTTAATTCTCATTATGCAGAAATTATTTCGATTATACGGATTACCTCTCTATTTCTTTGGAATATAGGAATTCTTAGTACATTAACATTTTCATAACAGAGTTACTTATATAGGATTATCTTTTATAATTTCAGGGCGATGGTAATACTTCCTTCCTTCGTGCCGCACGCGCTGGAAATTTGGAGCGCGTGCTGGAACACCTAAAGAACAACATTGACATTAACACTAGCAATGCGGTGAGTAAATTCTTCATGAAACGTGAAATTCAATACCTAATCTCTCATCGACTAATTCATTGTAGAACGGCCTGAATGCTTTGCATTTGGCATCCAAGGATGGACACATACACGTTGTCTCGGAGCTGCTACGACGCGGAGCGATTGTTGACAGCGCCACCAAGAAGGGGAATACAGCGCTGCACATTGCTTCGCTGGCTGGACAGGAGGAAGTGGTGAAGCTATTGCTGGAGCACAATGCCTCTGTCAATGTGCAGTCGCAGAATGGCTTCACACCCCTCTACATGGCTGCCCAGGAGAATCACGATGCAGTAGTTCGTCTCTTGTTATCTAATGGCGCTAACCAGAGCTTGGCCACGGAGGATGGCTTCACTCCGCTGGCTGTAGCCATGCAGCAGGGACACGACAAAGTTGTAGCCGTGCTTCTCGAGAGCGATACACGCGGCAAGGTGCGTTTGCCAGCACTGCATATAGCTGCCAAAAAGGATGACGTAAAGGCTGCTACGCTTCTACTGGATGTAAGAAAGTATCATAAACTAAATATTGTTCGGCTACTTAGTTACTGTCTCCCACAGAATGACCACAATCCGGATGTGACTTCCAAGTCGGGCTTTACACCGCTGCACATTGCCTCCCATTATGGCAACCAGAACATTGCCAATTTGTTGATCCAGAAGGGCGCCGATGTCAACTACTCGGCCAAGCATAACATCAGCCCCTTGCATGTGGCTGCCAAGTGGGGCAAGACGAACATGGTCTCGCTGTTGCTCGAGAAGGGCGGCAACATCGAGGCCAAGACTCGTGATGGCCTCACTCCACTCCACTGCGCCGCACGTTCCGGCCACGAGCAAGTCGTAGACATGTTGCTAGAGCGCGGTGCTCCAATCAGCGCCAAAACCAAGAACGGCTTGGCGCCCTTGCACATGGCCGCCCAGGGCGAGCATGTGGATGCTGCTCGCATTCTGCTCTATCATCGCGCACCAGTGGATGAGGTCACCGTCGATTATCTCACTGCTCTGCATGTGGCCGCCCATTGCGGACATGTGCGTGTGGCCAAGCTCCTGCTGGACCGTAATGCCGATGCTAACGCACGTGCGCTCAATGGATTTACACCACTGCACATTGCCTGCAAAAAGAATCGCTTGAAGGTCGTCGAGCTGTTGCTGCGCCACGGCGCCAGCATTAGCGCCACTACGGAAAGCGGTCTAACTCCGCTGCACGTGGCCGCCTTCATGGGTTGCATGAACATCGTCATTTACTTGCTGCAGCACGACGCAAGCCCCGATGTGCCCACTGTGCGTGGCGAGACTCCATTGCATTTGGCTGCACGCGCCAATCAGGTGAGTGTCGTTCAAAGTTCTCTTCCGTTAAAGGCTCCTATCGATATCAAAACTATTCATAGCTATCACCTTTTTGAGTAATTCACTAAATACTCATTCAAATTGATCGTTTTGTTCTCTTATTTACTCGATATTTGTAATCATCGATATTTCACGTAGATCTCCATATTAAATAAAGCGTTAATTTCAAATTGTATTATTCTTTCAGACGGACATCATACGTATTCTTTTACGCAATGGCGCCCAGGTTGATGCGCGTGCTCGGGAACAGCAAACGCCGTTGCACATCGCTTCACGTTTGGGTAACGTTGATATTGTGATGCTGTTGCTGCAGCATGGCGCTCAGGTGGATGCCACTACGAAGGACATGTACACGGCTTTGCATATTGCCGCCAAGGAAGGTCAGGACGAGGTAAAAGACTTGATTGCCAAAAAGATAACGGATCACATCGACACCGTCTACCTAATGCAATTGTTCTGGATACGTCATCAGGAGTATTTCATTTGAAATTGGTTTTTGAGTTTCCTTATGTATATTTGCTTTAATTATAACTTTTATTTTTGTTTCTGTTACATTCATCGAGTATTACGAGTTTCGTTACGTCTTTTGTTACTGTCTATTATGTTGGCCATAAATAAATGTCTCCACTTCGATATTATTTTGGTATTATTTACATTGATTTATTATTTACAATTTTTAGCTCATATTAAGTTGTATTCCTGAACAGGTAGTTAGAGCTATGCATCGCCTTCGCAACTTAATTTTTGTAGAGATAAAAGTGGTGCATAGAGAAACGCAATTTCAGTATATTTATAAGTCATTATTTATTTAGGTGGCCGCTGTGCTGATTGAGAACGGCGCTGCTTTGGACGCAGCCACCAAGAAGGGCTTTACGCCATTACATCTGACAGCCAAGTATGGGCACATAAAGGTCGCTCAGCTGTTGCTCCAGAAGGAGGCGGATGTGGATGCACAGGGCAAGAATGGAGTTACCCCGTTGCATGTGGCTTGCCACTACAACAACCAGCAGGTGGCCTTGCTGCTGCTGGAGAAGGGCGCCAGTCCACATGCCACCGCCAAGAACGGACATACACCGCTGCACATTGCGGCGCGCAAGAACCAGATGGACATTGCTACCACTTTGTTGGAATACGGCGCTCAGGCCAATGCGGAGAGCAAGGCTGGATTCACGCCACTGCATCTAAGCAGCCAGGAGGGACACGCCGAGATTTCCAATTTACTGATTGAGCATAAGGCTGCCGTCAATCATCCAGCCAAGAACGGTCTAACACCCATGCATCTGTGCGCCCAGGAGGATAATGTCAATGTGGCTGAGATTCTACAACGCAACGGTGCCAACATCGACATGGCCACCAAGGCTGGCTATACTCCGCTGCATGTGGCCTCCCACTTCGGCCAGGCCAACATGGTGCGTTTCTTGCTGCAGAACGGGGCCAACATCGATATGGCCACCAAGGCTGGCTATACTCCTTTGCATCAGACCGCTCAGCAGGGCCATTGCCATATTGTGAACTTGCTGCTGGAGCACAAGGCCAATGCAAATGCCCAGACTGTCAATGGCCAGACACCTTTGCATATTGCACGCAAATTGGGCTACATCAGTGTGCTCGATTCCCTCAAGTCGATTACCAAGGAGGACGAGGATGCCACTGCTACCGCTCAGACGGAGGAAAAGTATCGCGTTGTGGCGCCAGAAGCCATGCACGAATCCTTCATGTCCGATTCCGAGGAAGAGGGTGGTATGTATAGATTCTATTCGGCTTACACCTAAACACAGACACATACTTCGACCACAGAAATACTCTAAGTTATGATTAGTCTTAAGTAAATCGAAAAAAAAAAAAACAAACCCTTTTATGTGTGCCGTCAGGTGACACAGAATGGGAATTGGACGCATGCTACGAGTTTGGCATTGGCGGTGATCGAGACCGTAGGCCAGACAACCAGATCTTTCAACCGTATTACCAGGGCGACTATCTATATGTCTCCAGTAAGTTGTCAATTGAAACGTTGCAAGGGCAACTGTAAATTAATATTGAAGAGCCGACTGCTATCAAGTGCACCAATTGGCATAGATTGGAATCCAATTGGAACCAAATTTATAATCAATAAACAAGGATAATGCAGCACTTTATATGGTTGCCTCGTCTAAATGTATAAACTATATCTTGACGTTGTCGTAAACACCAGAAAGCACAAGAAACGAAAATGTGGTGTGCTTAACACCTTTCCCAATTTTGTTGATTTATTTAAACACTTTAATATACATATATGAAATCGTTATGGCGTATTGATATGTATCGATAAGTAGTACATAACGGTTTCATTTCGAATACCTTGATGTCCATGTAAATATACAAGAGATAGGTTTTTGGGTGAAAATTGTGACTTTTTTGTACCATGGCATGAAACACTTTATAAAAATATATATATTAAATGATGTATTTGATATAATCTATAAACTAAGCTATATACTATTGCTCCTATTTATGATTCATGCTAGCTTTATATATCATCCTATTAATATATATATGTATCTACTTATTTATACAAAATATGCATGTAGTGTTGACGAAATTTCTCAACTAAAAGAAAAACTCATTTGCATTCTTCTATTTTCAATGCACTGCGCTCTCATCATCTGCAAATCAAATAACAACAACAACAACAACAACTGAACTACACTATACAACACAATACAACAACAACAATACTTCGCTATATGGCCAATTGGACTGTCTTGTGCTTAATTGAAATGCTGTGGAATGCAACCGAAATGCTACGCAAATAAACGAAAAATAAAATCCCATAGGCGAAGATAATATGCTATCCGATCAACCTTATCGCTATCTGACCGTTGATGAAATGAAATCCCTAGGCGATGACTCGCTGCCCATTGATGTTACGCGCGATGAGCGCATGGACTCCAATCGCATGACCCAAAGTGCTGAATATGCAGGTGGAGTACCGCCTACCATTGGCGAGGAGATGATCAGTCCGCACAAGGCTCAAGTCTATGGCAATTCGCCCAAGGCAACGGTCGATGGTGTCTATATAGCCAATGGAGCTGGCAACGATGAGCCACCACATGTGGGGTAGGTATAGCAATCGACTTACTCAAGTATGATTCCTAACTTGGTGCTTTGTAGTCGCAAGCTGAGCTGGAAGAGCTTCCTGGTCTCATTCCTGGTGGATGCACGCGGCGGTGCCATGCGTGGTTGTCGCCACAGCGGCGTCCGTATGATAATACCGTCGCGCTCCACCTGCCAGCCGACGCGGGTGACCTGCCGGTATGTAAAGCCGCAGCGCACCATGCATCCACCGCAGTTGATGGAGGGTGAGGCCTTGGCCAGCCGCGTGCTTGAACTGGGACCGTGCTCGACCAAGTTCATTGGGCCCGTGGTCATGGAGGTGCCGCATTTCGCCTCGCTGCGTGGCAAGGAGCGTGAGATCATCATCTTGCGTTCCGACAACGGTGAAACCTGGCGAGAACATACCATTGACAACTCCGAGGAGGTTATTCACGATGTCATGCAACAGTGCTTCGAGCCAGAGGGTGAGTGGACTTGACATGGCCTAAATCAGCTTTTCTCATTTGACTTTCCAATTTGTTTCCTGTGCTGCCACAGAAATCGCTCAGCTGGAGGAGCAGGCCGGCAATCATGTCTGTCGCTTTGTCACCTACGATTTCCCGCAGTATTTCGCTGTCGTATCGCGTATACGCCAGGAGGTGCATGCAATTGGACCCGAAGGCGGCATGGTGTCCAGCACTGTGGTGCCACAGGTTCAGGCCGTCTTCCCACAGGGCGCCCTGACCAAGAAAATCAAAGTTGGCTTACAGGTAAACCTCTTTAAACCACGCAAAGGCGTTGCGCCCGAGAAACTACGCAAGATCAGCGTCAATCATGTGCCCAAAAAGAAGCGCTTCTCGCTCATTTGGTAAATCAAGAAGCAAGATCAACGTAAAGAAAATTAAACGATCGATTTATATAGAGTATACACCAATAATCGTGCATTTAACATAAATAGCTTCCTCCAAGTATATCAGCCAAGTTTTCCGAAATATTACAAGTACGCATTTAAATACTAATTAATTAATCAAGATTTAATACCGCTCCAAAAACATTGTAACTCGCGTCTATGATATACACGTACATATATCTATATATATATATATATATATATCCAGCATGATCAGTTCAGATTAACTTGAAAGGCGGAACCTATTATCAAATCAAAATATTCTACTCCAATACTAGTATTTAGATTTGTTTAGAAATATTCCTACTTTAAATGCCTCTAGTTACAATATTACAATTTTTTTGTTGTTTTGGGGGCTTTATGTATATGTTACTTATGCTATATATCTATATGTGCACTTTGTTTGAGAATTTACTAGAAATCACACTGCAGAACTAGTTGAGAATTATTTGGTACTCCACGACTAAACAAAGAAAGAATTATTTTAGAGTGACTTGCAATAATATTAAAATACATATATTAATCTATTTACGATGATTGATCATGGATCAAGCGACTTATCCAACAAATCGCATATTTTCTTAAACTCTAACAAACAAATTGTCCAATCGAAGTAGACAACTAATAATAATACTAAATATACATATGCCTATTATTATTATAAATTAACATATTAAAAAAACACAGAAAAGAGAAAAACTTACCTATGCATAAGATTATAAAAGTTTACTGAAATGAAGTACTATACCCAATAAATTTAGTTCAACAAAAACTTTATAACAATGAAAATCTTTTCATTAATTTTAGTTTTTATTCATTAATTTTTCGATTAAATTGCTTTTTTGAGAACAAAAAGAAATATAATGGAAATTGTGAAATACTATATAGTTGTATATATGTATTATAAAAATGCTTAGAGACCGATACAATTGGGTTCGGCTCAGAAATGCCTAACGAACTTGTAAGCCAAAAAAAAAGAGGAAAAAATACGATTTTATGATGGCCCCACTCATGAGTTTAAAACGTTTTCTTTTAGCACATTTTATTTTGCATTTTGTATATAAATTTCAATAAAATATGATTTACGGCAAATTGCTGAGATTTTCGTTTTCTAGGGTTCGATTAAGTTGTAGTCAAAGTTTTTTTTGATAACTAAATTTATTGGGACATAAATGGGCTTGAACATTGTTATTGTTTGTAGTTAAATTAACTAAAAACATGCGATTGCTCAATAGAACCATTAAAAATAATAGTTGTATGAATGAAACATCTAAATCCTAAATAAGCATTGTATAAAAAAAAAAACAACAAAAAGAATATGACACAAAAGACAAAAACAAAAATGTTCACCATTTAGCCCAAAACTCATTTCATTTATTAAATTTTAATTTTAGTTTTTGTATTTTTCTATGCATTAGAGTTATACATATATAGATATAGATATATGTATATATTTTAACAAATGACGCATAGTTCGTATATATAGTTTTTATTTTATTTAATTTTGTGTTTCTCATCTACCATTATTGCTGAAGAGTGTGTGTGTGTGTGTGTGGCCCGAAAATCGATTTTTGTTATCTATAGTGCCGAAAATTCGTTACATTTCTAGGCCCAACCAGTTGATCCAGATCTAACGGCTAAGCTATTGGGTCGCGGCGTTGCCGTCTCGCCGATCGTAACGGTCGAGCCGCGCCGTCGCAAATTCCACAAGGCAATCACTCTGAGCATGCCCGCCCCGAAGGCACACAGCCAGGGCATGATAAATCAGTACTCGGGCAATACGCCAACGCTACGCCTGCTCTGTTCGATAACAGGTAAGTTAACTTTGTTTATGTTCTTCCCTTTTGTGTTGTTGTCAAGCAAATTACATATATAATGAGTATATACTTAACATTATGTTGTTTTGTTGGTTGATGTTTTATCTATGAGTAACGAATACCTGAAGCCATTCTCTCTGTATCTGTAAACCTCTCAGGCTTTCCTTTTATAATTCCATTTCCACTTCGTTTCTAATTAGTTTCCATTTAGTTTTGTCCTTTAGTCCAACTCTAGTCTGTATTCAGTATGATTTCGTTTAGTATATATTTCCTCTTTATTTAACTATAATGTACTACATACAATTATCATGTACTATATATACATGCCATATATATCTATATACATAAAATGTTGTACAGTGAAAATTGCCAAATTACCAATATAATAATTAAAATATTAATAATAATTATAATAATTCGTAAATTGCCAAAAATCCAGGTCGCATTTGATAGAAACAATGTGCTTGTGTCTGTGTAGTTGATGCGTATAAGTTGTTTCGGGTTAAACTCTATTTCGTTTCTGCAGCATTTACTCCAAATTCAATTTGAAATTACGATCCAAATTTGATTAACAGTAGCCTCGTTTTTATATTCAGTAACAGTAATCTTAACAGTAAACAGTATATATAAAAGCAAAAGTATTCGTAACAGCAAACAGCATAGTTAAATGTTCATTCACCCCCGCATACCGACATAGAATACGCTCATACTCCAAGCTACACCCACACAATTACAGATACAAATACGAACCCAATCACACATATACTCTCTCTCTCTCTCTCTCTCTCTCTCTCTCGTACTCGATTAAATGTTATCATTGTGCCAAACAGTGTTTGATCCAGTATATATTATACTATATTTATATATACATATATATAAATATATATATTTGTCCTCTTCTTTTCTTATTTATGTACATATATATATGACTTTTGTTCTATGATTTTCCTTGAACTTCAGTTGAATATGTTTTTGATTTTTGGAACAAAGCAAAACTAAAAATACAAAAATAGTTTAATTAAATTCTTAATTGAAATCGTATTTAATTGTTCTATAATTTTGTACTAATGCGTCAAATGCATTTGTGCACGCATTCCATTCTGTTTTCTCAATCCATTGAAGGTGTGTTTCGGAAAAGGTCTCTAAAAGGTAACTAAAAAATGACAAAATGTCCAAAAAACCATAAAAAATAAAATAAATTCAGAAATTCACAAACATGTATGAAGTTTCTTCAAATTGAAACTCTGTTTACAATATAAACAAAATGTTATTTGTTCATATTTAGTTGTTTCGTTCTATGCCAAAAAAATATATATATATTAATAAATATTAACAACAATAACAAATCATAGTTACTTATATTGAATATGAACCAATTATAAAAAAATATCAAATGAAACAATTTAGCAAATTTCAATCAAAAATAATATTTGAAAATTCTGCATATTTTATTTCAAAACAAATTTCTTATTAAAAAAAAAACTATTGCAAATATTTCTAAAAATATGTATTTCATTTTGTTAATATATTACTATGCTTTCAACATGTTTATTTCGTATCGATATATTTTGCTTTCATTTATTTGACTTCATTTTGGAATCATTATTTTTGTTTTTGTTCTCTGCCTTAATTCGGGTTGCGCTGCGTCTTTGGGTTTTCTGTAAAATAAAAAAGCAAATTAAGTAAAATAAAATGAAGATCAGGAACAAATTCTGTTGGGCCTCTCCTGATTCCCTTCCAATTGTTAAAGCCAAGGCTTCTTCAGATCAAAGCAGCTTCGTTTTTTTGAAGTAAGCTAACTTTCTCGAACTCTTAAGCTTGTCCTACAAAAACAACTCTTTTGCTGCGCTCTCTCTCGCTCTGTCTCTCTCTCTCTATCTCTCTTTCTCTAAACTAACTAAATAAGAATAAATTACAAATATCTTTAATGAAATTTCTGACTGCACGCGGTTTTTTCTATTCATATATAAATTGCACATTTCCATTAAAAAATAAAAATGATAAAAAAAAAATGTTAATAGGTCTCTAATAAAACAAGTTGCTAAAGTTGCTCTTTGGGCCAATGAAACCGTATTTAAATTAAGGCCAGACTTGAATTTTGAATTATTTGTTTACTGTCTTTATTTATCATATATCTTTGTTTTCCATTTTATTCTTAATTTGGAATGTCATGCACTTAATATAATTGCTAGTTTCTTGTTTTATTAGATTGTTCAGATTTGATTTGATGTGTTATGCTTCCTTTTGAGTTCAACATTAAGCAGAATATATTCACATATTATCTATATAAATTGTTTTCAAAAAATAACTTATTCAATTTCGAATTTCAACTGTTTGTGGCCCCAAAGAGAACTTTTCTGAAACCGAGAAAATGAAACAAAAATATTCACACACAATCAAATAGAAGAAGAAGAAAAGAATAAGAAATTTATGCTATTAATGAAATTAAGCTCTATATTATATATTTAACGAACCTAAATATATTTTGTTTATTGTATATAAACAAGTCAAGGTCTATTATTTATTTTATCTTATTAAGTTTGTTTTAATTATATTTCTTTGATTTTGTATTTCTCGGTTGATTTCGTTTTCGTTTTTCTTGTTTTCTACACATTTACAAGAAACACGTGAAACACGCTCACTTAATTATCATTGAAAAGTCATTGAAATAATTTTGTTATTCCAAACATATTTAGCATGTTGTTTCAAAATGGCTTCGAAGTCAGCGTAACAAGTACCTTTAGTACCTGTATATCCCTGTAAATGCTATAGCCCTCCAAAGACTTAATTTAACAAATAAATATAATGCTTGAATCCAAAGTGCGACACACACACCCATACATACATACATACACATATACATGTACATTGATCCATTACACAAGGCTTAGACCTAACCCAGTCACAGCATCACATTAATCTATACATATATATAAATACGATATGCCACAGACACACAGACCACAAGAAACAATTTACTAATTTTTCTATAACTCTTATGCTAAATACATATTCGGTACTTTTTAGAAATAACTTACATCTTAATACTTTTCTCAATAATACTCTTTAATACATATAAACAATTGCTTTGTAATTATAACACACTATCGTATTTCTCTCTCTCTTTAAAGACAAAAACTTTTTCATTTTCATTTAGTTGAACAATTTTTCGAATTACATAATGATCTGCTAATAAGACATAAGTAGAGTTTTCAAAGAGTTATTCATATTTAGTCTATGCAAATCGCCCTTACACTGATCTATGCTTGAAAATTGAACGTCTTATTACCCATTAGGCGGACCGTCCCGTGCCCAATGGGAGGATGTGACGGGCTCCACGCCGTTGACATTTGTCAACGACTGCGTCTCATTCACGACAACAGTTTCGGCCCGTTTCTGGCTAATGGACTGTCGCAACATTTCCGATGCAACCAAAATGGCAACAGAGCTGTACAAGTAAGTCGACAATTACAGCTAGATCTCATTTAGATCATATTAACCATGTGCGCTTTATAGGGAAGTCATCCATGTGCCGTTCATAGCCCGGTTTGTGGTGTTCGCCAAGAAAATAGAGCCCTTCGAGGCACGTCTGCGCGTCTTCTGTATGACCGACGATCGCGAGGATAAGACTCTCGAGAAGCACGAGCTATACACCGAGGTGGCCAAGAGCCGTGATGTCGAGGTGCTCGAAGGCAAACCGCAATACATTGAAATGGCTGGCAATCTAGTGCCCGTCACCAAGTCGGGTGATCAATTGCAGTTGCAGTTCAAGGCCTTCCGCGAGAATCGTCTGCCCTTCACGGTGCGTGTGAAGGATCAGCATGCAGATATTGTGGGTCGCACGCTGTTCATGAAGGAGCCCAAGGTGGCCAAGGGCGAGCCTCCACAGCAACCCATCTGCATACTCAACATTGTTCTGCCAGAGGCTGTCATACCCGATTCGACGACTGCATTCTCTGAACGTGTCTCCTCTGCCTACCGCACCTCGATGTTCAGCCTGAGCAAGCATCAGAACGATCACTACATTGGCGACATACGCATTGTAGACTTATCCAATTTGTTGGGCAAGGACTGGATACAATTGGCCCCAGAGATAGGCATAACTACCGATGAGATTGACGAAATCATCAACCAAAATACCGACAGTATTGCGCGACAGGCGCAGAGCATGATTCGCTTGTACAAAGATAAGCCAAACTACGATATTCAAGCACTGGAAACAGCTCTTAAAAACATTGGAAGAGACGACATCATGAAGAAGTGCAAGAGCGGCAGATTATCGCATTCGCGAGAGTTTGACGAGGCAGATCTTATGAAGAACTCCGAGTCCGTAGAAGAGCTGGTCCGCAGAGAAAGTGAGTACTTACTACTGAGAATTGACAGCATAATACTAACACCATCACATATTTGCTTTTAGGTAAGCGAATCCAGCAAATCAACGAACGCGAAGAAGTCAAATACTCTGCAGAAGAGAAGGAAGTTGAAGAGTCTGAGTCCGACGAGGAATCAGCAAAACGAACCGTTGCCGAGCGCCGAGAGAAAATCGTCAAACGTCTCTCTGTGGAACGCTCCATACCAGCCTCAACCCAAAAGAAGGAAATTACACGAGAGATAACTGAGATCAAACGCAAGAGCTTAATTGAGGACAAAAAGGCGCACCACGAGTCAGAGATTCTGATGCAGCTACCCGCCGACAATGTCATAATCAAAACGACGACAGTGCCCGAGCAGGTCATCAAGATGAAGATGGGCAAAATGGATTCCACTGAAGTGAGCAAGAGCGAATTCGATAAGGAGTTGACACATAAGCTGAAAACTTCCGGACGCAGCTCTGAAGAAGAAGAACTGCCATCTCCAGACAAAGTTGATAAGATTGTCCAGGATATAAGCACCGCTGAGACGACGGCTAAGAAGGACACGGCAACCAGCAGCCGAGTGGGCTTTATTACCCGCCAGGAAGCGCGTGATATGACCGAGGATTTCTTGGAGTTTGAAAAGCGCAATCAGCTGCCATCCGAAACGACGGCCACAGTTCATGAAAAGTTCTCAGAGGAGTTCAAGGAAAAGACCAGCCCTGTGGCAACAATTGCTCAGGAGACCATCAAAGAGGTTGAACAAGTCATCAGTGAAGTCACTGAAACTGCCAGCAAGAAAGTCGAGAATATAATCAGTTCCTTCGAGAGTGGCAAACAGGAAATCAAAGAGAAGAGCAGTGAGATTACCACAGACACAACGAAGGTCAGCGAGACTATAAAGCAGCTGCAAGAAACCAAAGTTACAGCTGCGGAAGAGATTTCCAAAACAGTTGAAATCGAGAGCACCAAAATTGAGGAGAAAATTGCTGACTTCGAGGCCAAAAAGGTGAGATACGATTTCCATGGCGGCGAGCCAAAGACACAAATACCCAAACTTGTAAAGCGACCTAGCGAAGAGCCCCTGAAACCGACAGCAGCACCTCGGGCTGCAGCTGAAACGGAGTTTGAAAAACCTGTCGAGGCTAAGGTCGAGAAACAAGTCTCTAAGATTCCAGTCAAGACCGGAGAAGGCGCCAAGATTGCCGAAGTGGATGCACGAAAGTTGACACAAGATTTTCTGCAGGCTGAACAAAAGACTCAGCTGCCGGCCCAAGTTGCAGTCGAGCCCAAAGCAGCTCCGGCTGCAAGTAAGATACCGAAGGTGGAGCCCAGAAAGTCAATTGACAAGGAGGCGAAGATCTTCGATGACATTGTAATATCCACTGCAACGATTATGACATCTGGAATGGCTTCCGAACAGCCCAAGCCACAGCCCGAAGTTGCTGCCAAGGCCGAAACTGTGAATGAAAAGTTGACCGACCTAATTGACACATTCCACAAAATCGAGGAAAAGATAATCAAAACCGACAAGCCAGCAGAGGTGGCTGACAAAATTGAGGGGCTTGCTGGCAAAAAGGAGGAGCCTCTGGTTACAGCTCAGCAAGATATGCCCGATTTGGCCAAAAAGGAAGATAAAGTGGCAGAAAAAGTAGCTGGTGTTATCGAGACATTCCACAAAATCGAGGAGCACATTGTGCTTGATACACTTCAGAAAACCAATGATTTTCTGAGCAATGAACAGCAAAGCCAGCTGCCCAGCCTGCGAAGTGCACCCGAGTCGCTGATCGAGTCCAGCCAGACATCAACAGCTTCCGAGCCAGAATCCGTGATATCTGTAAAAGCAGCACCGCCAGCCAGTAAAATACCTGTTGTAGAACTAAGAAAAACATTAGTCGAGGAAACAGTGAAACCAGTTGAGGTAGCAAGCAGTCAACAGCAGAAGCCTGCTCCACTCAACGAACGTCAGCTTACTGCGGACTTTTTGAAGATGGAGCAACAAACTCAGCCTCAGCCTCTGCCTCAGTCGCAGCCTCAATCCCAGGATCAGTCTCCAAAGATTATCGCTGATACGACAATTTTGCCAGAAGTCATGCAGACAAAACTTGCTGCGCAGGAACCAACAGTCATAGCTGAGATAAAAACTACCACTGACAAGGAACCTAAAACCACAGTCGTAGAGCCCGAGTCGAATATCGTTGCAGGAGACGGCATCGAGTCTGCTGCACCAATTGGCGAAGTATCACCATTTGCTGCACGCAAGCTGACCGCCGATTTCCTGGCGAATGAGCAACAAGCTCAGCAGCCTAGTATAACTAAAGTAATGTCCGAATATGATAGCGATACGTTCGATAAGCGGGCAACAGCGCCATTGAGCGATATCCTCAAGGAAGATGGACTCTCTGCACCGCTGTCCATTGAGCCACGCAAGTCGCTGACCGATGCGGAGTTCTGCAAATATGTCGGTGAGACCATTACCAAAAAGATGAGCGAGGGTTTAATTGAAATGCCAGATGAACTCAAACAAATAGGTGCGTATACAAAAGATTCAGATGTAAACCGGAACGTATGGCTAATTGGGTTACACTTTCAGCGAGCGACATACCACATTCCCAAACTCCGCCACCAACACCGAGTGATGCCAAAACCGAGAAGCAGAATGAGCAATCCGACCTGGGCGATCTAGAGCATGGTAAGATCTCAGTAAATTAACATCTGATTGATTACACTAATTGACGTGAATCTTCACTTTATATATATACACAGATTATTTAGCCGACACTGTGACCACTTTGCACACGACCACAGAGTCGACGTTCGAACGTGTCGCTGCCATTTCCACAGTTGGTAAGTGCTGCCTCTACTCTATGCAATTTAAGTATTTGTTATGTAAATTGACTTACCAACGTTTTTTGTTTGCCTTTTTGGTATAAGAAAGTGAACTCGTAACACCCCTTGTTTTTTGGTTTCTGTTTACCCTATGATTTCTGAGCCTTTTGTAGTGTCTTTGTTTCCAATTTTCATTAGTACAACTTATAATTTTGTATTTCCTCTTCTTTTGTATGTTGAACTCATTTCGTTTTGAATTCAAATCCAAAGGCTTTTTGTATGCAAACTACCATTCATTAAAACTATCAACGATTCAATGAAAACGAAAAAAGTTCATTGTTAACAATAAATAGTCGTAAAAGCATCAAGCAACAAACTACTAGTGTGTATATCTTAATCAAAAAAGTCTGTATGTGAAGAAACCATAATTCGCAATTCACTATCTCAAATTGAAGCTCACCGAGTGGCGTTTGACCAGCAGCAGCAGATGGTGACAAAAGCTCTCCAAGAAAATGCCGCTGAAATACCGTTGTAACGTCGCAGTACTGTAGCTAATCCAATTACCTAAAGTCTAAGGTCGGGCAAATGAGGAAAACATAAACAAGGAAAAATCCCCAATAGTTCAGCTAGTGTCTGGCGCCGCTGCAACCGCTGTGGTTGACTAACATTCAAAATTTACAATGTCAACACAAAATGTTCGAATCGATAAAAAGCAATTGCATTCTTTGGTTAAATATTCAGGAGAAAGGGCAATGCAGTACAGTCAAGTTTAAGCTTAAGTCATAAAGTTTCCAATATACAACCCATTGTTTCGTCTAGTTAGCTCTAGTTAGACATATCTAAATATATATGAATTATCTTATATGTAATATAATATAATATAACTGCTGGTAGTTTTGGGGTAGGTGTCGTTTGTTATGTCACTGCGCAGGCCGTCGAATGGTGCGCGCTGGCGTATACTTAATTTAATTTGTTTCGTTCGTTTTGGCGTAGTTAAACAGTGAGCGTACATTTGTTCGCAGATTTAGTTACACATTTGCATTTGCCCAAGTACACGCGACGGTAATACGTAGCCGATTTTCTTGTAGACGCGCTGTCTTCGATCTGCTGCCTTCTGGCCAAGCCAAAGCCCTCAACTATATAGTGGCCTAATTTGTTTTGTGTTTCTTTGTGCGTTTCAATTTAACGAGTAGTAATCGAGCATTGTAGCGTTGAGTTGTTGTTTGTGGTTTATTCAATGCATTGATAACATCTTAAATTAACTTGAATACAAAACAAAACTAGTTTAAAAACTACACTCAAAACTTTATAAAACTCAATACCCAAACACTAAAGTAACTTTAAGTATTGTAATTTTATGGTAAGTTCTGAAGCAAAGCAAATTTGAAAAGTTGCAATTAGAAAAGTTCTAAGCATATAAGATGGGTATCGCTAATAGGTCTCTCTCTATCTCTCTCTCACTATTATACTCTATAAATATTTATATACATCCAGCAACAATAATAATGAACCATAATTGTTTATTTTATGATCGAATATAAAACGACAATTACGTTTGCAATTTTTCAGCAATTATTTATGCAATCTAGTTTATGTTTTACTGTCAAATACTGCAAGCTACAATAATTGATTCAATTTCAATTCAAACATTTCAAATACAAATGAATAAGTACAATAACAAGTTAAGCCAATATAACTAGTGTACATAACATACAACATATTAACAATGTACTATAAGATTTTTTTCATTAAGATAAACACTCAAATTTTTCGAAATTTTCGAACTTCTCGGAATTTATATAGATTCATTTGTCAATCGTTATGTGTGTTGTGATCCGAAATGAGTTGAGTGACCACAAAAAGTATTTATGTATATGGAAAACAATTGTTCCAAGTCCATTGTGATCTCATTTCGCATTTCGATCACAACCAAACTGCCGCATTCAGCACTTCAATTCCAATTTCGATATCTGTAACCACCATGGCTTTAAGTTTCCAATAATTTTATCATTTATTTGATTATGTTCTGTTTGCTTTTCGTAATATCTGTGAGTCCTTAACGAAAAAGCATATGTAATCTCTCTCTTTCTCTCTCTGTCATCTCAAACCCACGAATATCTTAACTAAATGTTTAGTAAAACAAAGTCAAATTCAATATTAAAACATATAATTAACATCAAAAATAAAATAATAACATCACAGTAGCCGTTATGTAAACATGCATAAATCGTACTCTATGTTTAGTTTATAGATTATTTACATTTTTTGCATTTGCGGCTTTTACAACAAATACACATTAATGCACTCCTAACGCGCTTCCTTATCCCAATTGGCTACATACTTTGTATAATGTATGATGTATCTGTAAATGTAAAAGTTAGATTGAAAACAAAAATATCAACAATAAATACCTGCTATACTATTGCGCCTGATTTACTCGAAGGCTGCATCGTATCGTATGTGACATATGATGTCGTGGTATCATTATTCTTGCAGTACTTTGCTAATTTTGTCTTTTTAAGTTTGTTTCCAAACTCCAAAATGAATACAAAATCTAAAACATACAACAATTGCTTAAATATTCTTGTGAAAAAAATATGCAAACGTAATTAATGAACATTTCAAGATGAGTCGAATTTCAAAATGATGTCAGAGCAGCAAATGGGCAAGGAATCCACGACTTCATATAGACCATACTCTAGACTTACATGGCAGAGCATAGTACATGATAAGAAATGCTCGACGGGCATTTAATTCTATCTATACATACATATGTAATAATAATGACTTAATAAGCGCATTTACTTATATCGTACAACAAATTGCATGTTTGTGCCTGCTGCTGGGTTCTTTTATGGCGTACAAGCTTGTAGTCATGCAATCAATTGCACAGTGTATATAAACTAACCCACCATATAAGTCTGGTTTGTTTGTAATAGGTGTTTAACTGTCTAAATATTGCCTTGTTTCTACTTCTTAAAATAATTACGCCACCCCACCTGGAACGCCTCAAACAGAGCACTTCAGTGTTCATAATGTAAAAACCGAAACATTTACAAGTACAGATGAAACTGATAAGCTGCTACATAGAATGGCAGCTCCCCCCACTATACAGAAACCATACTCACAAGACACTACCTCATTTACAGAAATGAGTGCAAGTAGTCCAACTCCGAAGACAACGACCACAACAACAACAACGACGACTCTGACTACGCAAATAGAACGCACCAAAGTAGATTTAACTGCAAAACCAATCGATCATCCAAAGAAACAAACGGAGCTGGATGATGGCCAGCGCGATGCTGGCGATAGGGAATACTTAGAGCAGATAATGGGCTGTGGTGATGTAAGGCGCAAGATATTGCGCTTGGAGAGCTATGGCAGTACGGAATCTTTGGAATCCAATGCCACACAACAGAGCGCACCACCCAAGTACATAGGCGACAAGGTGACGGTTGTTAAAGATGTGGTCCAGAGCATTGAGAATAAGATAAGCGGTACTGAAGTTGAGGCTATTCCATTTCCAGTACATAAGCGAGCAACAGATCAGGAACATAAAGAGCCGAACATCTCGGAGGTAGAGAAACAGATACTAACCGCTGCAGACCTCGCACTAGATAAGTTAATAAAATGCGAGCCACCTACCGAAGTTGTTAAGCGTTCACCTGTTGAGGCTATGGAGCGTGGAGCAATTGGTATGGCGCAAATTGAGGAAGAGGTGTGCGAAAAGATTTGTGAGAAGCGAAAGGCCTTTGTGGTGGCAGAAGACTTAAATGAAACGCAAAAGACTTTGGATGAGCAGGTAGTAGATATAAATAGGCAAGTAGAACAGGTACCTGGCAGCATTTTACCGAAAGACTTAGTAAGTAAGGAAACTATATTAGAGACATTGCCAAAAGTGAAGGAAGTTGTCCAAGACATTGAACGTAGGTATACCTCAACGAGCTTAGATGTTACACCTTTTAGTCCACGTAAGCGTGAAACAGTAGATCGCAAGGCTGATTTATCCACGATAGAACAACAGATTTTAAGCGAAACTGACTTGGTTCTAGAAAATCTGACTGCGATCCGTACTCCTGAACAGAAGATAGTTTCGCCGGTGCTCCACATGGATAAAACAAGCCCGAGTGTTGAAAACCTTGAAGTAGTTTGCGAAAAGATATGCTCAAAGCGTAAAGTTTCCGATATGGCAAAAGAGTTCCATAGGGAACCAGATAGTGAACACATTTTACAATCGAACGATATTAAATTAATTACTGCTAAGTTCCTTTTAGATGAAAGAACTAAACACAATTTAGCCGAAAATATTAAACAGGCACCAGAAAGTGATAATATTTTATCAAAGCAATGTGATAAACAAGAGTTTCCCATAGAATTAAATAAGTACAATAATGAAGTAGTATTTCCAAAACTGGCACAGACAGTTGAGCGATTGCATTCAATTTCAAAATCTGACATTAAAGACACAAAAGAATTTATAAACGTTGCAACTGAATACGAAAGAAAGCTGAGTACACTAATTTTAGATGAGAGCCGACCGAAACCACAGACTGACAAACAGTTTTTAGATAAGTTTCCAACCCATGAAAAAGATGATATACAATTAAAAGCTGCAGTACATACAGCACAAACCCAAAAGACCATTGATTTTAAACCCACTTTTCCATCTGATACACCTAATATTAAAGCACAAGAGAGTGAAAGTGACGAGGAGATTGATCATGATGCAAAGGTGCACAAGATAAAACTACTATCAAATATAGAAAAAAGTATGCAACAATCTATTTATGTGAGCGACAATAAGGTTTTAGAGTCGACAGAAATAAATAAGAGCGAAAACGGAAAGTTTCCAACGAATCTAATAGCATACGAGGACAAATTGACATCCGAGCTATTATCAAAAAGCAAAACAAAAGTACAGAAAACCGATCAGAGCACCTCCGAAATTAAGCCAGATAAAAAACAGAAAAACATAGATGACAGGCCCAAGTCTCCTATTGATGTATCTAAGCAAACTTCTAAACAGAATTATGCGGAAGAAAAGATGCTTTCCTCCACCACACCTCTGGTACCACTTTCTATGACTACAAGTAAAATTACTTCTGTCAGTGAGACTCGGGAGTCTG